TTTTAAAATAATATATTTATAAGGACTATTATATTTTTGAGACTCCAGTTGTTGCCTTTTAAAAAAATATTTTTAAACAATTAATTGTTATCAAAAAATTAACATCTTTTCAAAGACCAACAGTACAAAATTAATATCTTCCAATTAAAATAATTAAAAAACCAGAGACCAGAATATATCTTACATTTTTTCCAGAGAATAGAATATATTTGAGAGGGCCAATTTTTAATTACAAACATAACTCATAGCTGTCATAGCACCGAATCACTGACGTAAATAAATTTTTTTAATATTTTTTTCTTTTCATTTTCAAATTTTCACACAAATTTATTAAGGAAACCGAAAATGAAAAATCAAAACGACCTTCACAAATACAAAAACATTCTTGCACAAAATGCGCGCGAACTCCACACACACAAATCGAATTAGACATCCCCTTTTGCACAAATCACAACAACAAAATCATTGCATATTCAACGACATTTAACAAACAGCAATTATGCAGGTCTCATCAATATTATTTCACGAAATAAACAATGGCCATTATAATTGTGACATTTTAAAGATATTATTTTATATATTTTCTTACTATTTTCATAAATTTTACACTTTTTCTTCACAAAATAACCGACAACACATTATAAGACAACCGACCGTTCGAACAACAACGAGCAAAGTAATTGGAAGAGAGCGAAAGAGAAACTAATTAGAAAAAAAAGAGATTATTGTTGTTGTGAAATAAGCCGGTGGCGCAGGAAAACAGAAATAGAAAAGGATAGATATATTGCAAATTATTTGCAAATAGAATATGCGTTCGCCCTAGGGGCTATCAATTCAGTGTGAATTGCACACATGCCAGGAGAAGAGCAAGCAGAGTGTCAATATTTATTTATTTTGAACAGCTGTTTTGGTGTGCGGTGAAACAGAAGTATTTGCTAACACGAATCTATTGAATATTATTTACAAAACCGTAAGTATAAATTGTAATTGAAATTTAATTGATATTAAATATAACGAATTACATATTGCATGTAGTGGTGAAATATTTGCATAAGAAAATTGATGTTGGCGGCGTAGTATTGTCTTACCTATCAGTGGGGTGAAAACTTATGTAGTGAATTGGAACATTTTTGGCAGTATGTAATATTTTCTTGCTGGAAATCCAGTAGAAACATGATTGTGGTTGAAATAAGATCAACAGTTTTAATGTGATCCATGGTTATTTTTTTTTTAAATCTTACTTTTTATAAGCAAAATCGTTTAGCTTATAGCTTTTACGAATTTCATCATATGCCTCACTCACGAGTCTTATATAAACAAAAACAATGCATACACCTGGAGACGGCACTACTATGTAGGATATGTGCAACAACTATTTATTACGGTTCTACACCTTTGCCATGAAGCCCAAACAGTAGATTTTTAATATTTATGTACTTCAAGGACTGTTGGAGTCCAAGGTGTAGATTTATAAAGAAATATTTTTAAGGACCAACAGAGGCCAAGGAAAAGGCGTATATTTTTGTGAAAGACTATTTGAGTTCAAGGACCATTGTAGTCCGTGGCGTAGATTTTTTAAGTAAAATTTGTTCAGGGGTCCAAGACGTAGATTTTTAAATTATATTTTTTGAAGGTATATTTGAGTTCAAGTCGTAAAACTCAAAATGAATATTTTTAGAGACCATTAGAGCCTACGATGTAGATTTTTAAAATAATATTTTTTCAGGACTATTAGATTTCAAGGCGTAGAGTTTTAAAATAATATTTTCAGGGGCTGTTAGAGTCCAAAGCGTAGATTTTAAAATATTTTTCAATGTCTATTAGAATCCAAGGTGTAGATTTTTATATTAATATTTTTTCAAGGACCATTACAGCCCAAGGCGTAGATTTTTAAATTAATATTTTTCAGGGAACATTACAGCCCAAGGCGTAGATTTTTAAATTAATATTTTTTCAGGGAACATTACAGCCCAAGGCGTAGATTTTTAAATTAATATTTTTTCAGGGAACATTACAGCCCAAGGCGTAGATTTTTAAATTAATATTTTTTCAGGGAACATTACAGCCCAAGGCGTAGATTTTTAAATTAATATTTTTTCAGGGAACATTACAGCCCAAGGCGTAGATTTTTAAATTAATATTTTTTCAGGGAACATTACCACCCAAGGTGTATTTGTTTGTAAATGACTATCTGAGTTCAAGTTGTAGATTTTTAAATTAATACTTTTGGCCGGAATATTAGAATCTGAGCCGTAGATTTTTAAAATTGTATTTATTCTTGGACCATTAAACTCCTTGTACATTAGAACTTTTTACCGGGTTAACCTACTTTATGAGGATTTATTTGACATATATGCAAAGGAAATGACAATTGGAACCCACTGGGTTAACGAAATCCGGTTAAATGTAAACGTACTATTAGAGCCCAAAGTAATATTTTAATTTAATTTATTGCAATTTTGGCAACCTAAAAAACTGTCTATGTTTGTTTGTGTAAAACAATTTCTATTAAATTGACATGTTCTTGGAAATAACTCCTTATATTACCGTTATCGGTCTATAATTAACGTAATTATGAGCATATGAATTTCGAAACTTATAGAGATCTCCGGCCTGCTGAATTTAAGCTTTTCACCCAGTTTCCCCATACCATCTCATGCCTGTCCTTTTGTAGCTGTCCTTTGCGATTTTTGCAAATGAACCCTTAATTAAAAGATCGAACGACTGTCACTCTATCGTTGAGGACATATTTGTAAGGTTGAACAAATATATCGCCGATTTAGCACCATTCTTTCACGCTATAAATATGAAAATATCTGCCACAAAATCTTCATCCACATTATTCACCACATGGAGTGCGGAGAGGAGAATGGCATTGAATGTACATGTCGAGTGGCATGCAATTCCGACCACCAAAAACTAATCGGTGTCGTATTTGAGAGCATGTTCAAATTGTCAATTGAGCTTTGGCTCAATTACGTTCAGGATGGTGCAGTCGTCTCAATTCGTATTGGGCATGACCACCACACCGCACTTATTCAATTCCCCTGCCAAACCTACAAAACTTTCTCCAGAATATCTGTGGCTGCAGCCTGTGGAAATAGCTGCATTTCTTAACTTGGATACAAGACCAGAAACAGATTGAATCACACGAGAATCATTTAATTAACCGTATATCTATGTCCTGAACCCAACAAAGTTTGGCAATTCAGCTTAATACATGTAGAGGAATTCTACAGTCATGATCCAGTTTTGAATTTATTATTCACGAAGCCGGTCCTTTGTGATTGCTAATATTTGCATTATCTGTTGTATAAAGAGATTTCCTCACAGTAAACACCAGCACGAGAACCTTCATCAATTTGTGTACACCTAAGTCTGTTTTTACACGGTCTTTTTGTACACGGTTTTGATATAAAACGGTTTGAAAATTTAATATTTTTAATTTTTTTAGACGATTTTGTTCCATTTTGCACGATTTGAAAATTTATGTACTTAATTTTTTTTTTGTCAAATTTAATTTTTGCGAAGTATGTTCATATCACAAAAAATATTTATGAAAGAAAAAAGTCTGAAACCATCGATAGTATCGATAGTTTGCGAACACTAGCTTAAAGATTTAAGTGAATTCCCCTTTAGCGCGTACAAACAATTTTACTGGTCAAAGCAAATGTGAATAGCACTAATTTAGGGGAATTCCCTTTATGTATAAGATCAATATCTTTTTTTACGCGGTTTTTTCTTACACGGCTTCTTCTGGAACCAATCTACCGTGACTTAGGTGTATATTGACCGACCAGACACTTGTCCAAGATTCTCAGCATGGAGTAATTACTTTGAAATCATCGAAGTCAAGATAGGGGAGTATGTAGCCTCTAATGTGACTATAATTACCCAGAACATTTAGAATTCAATCATGTTAAAATCGCTAGAGTAGTATCCTAAGATATGGTCCTTCATACTCGTATTTCTCCATGCTGTTTATAACTAGTTCCACAGAGTAAATACTTCTACCAGTGCCTTGGAGGCATTTGTATATATTGGAAAACCAGGAGAGGTAGAATGCCACCTGTCAGGGATACTCTTCTTGAATAGCTTATATTGAAATACGCGAAGTCACGATAAAGGGGTATGTAGTCACTAATTTGGCCATTTATACCCAGCATTAAAAATTTTATAGATTTATTCAATTTTCAAAATTTGTTAGGGTTAAAGATAAAAATTAACATAAAAGGTCGCACGTTAGGGCCTCTACTAAGGTAGTTCGGAATGTACTCAGCTTAGCATCAAAAGCGCGGTAAAAACAGAAAAAAGTTAGAAATGCGATCTTTCGTTGTAAAAAATTGCGGATGTGTCTTTTTTGAACACCTGTTTCTATATGAAAGAGTTGCCAGATCGAAGCAAAATTTAAGATGTGTTCATAACAGAGATGGAAGTTTCCAAAACAATTAACTTTTTTTCTCTTTTTACCGCGCTTTTTGTGCTAAGCTAAGAACTTTCCGAATAATTTCAATATTAAAAATTAAAACTTAAATTTGTATACAAACCATTTTAATATCCACTTTGAGCACGAACAAAATCTAATCTAATATATTTTAGATGTATATTTAAATAAAAAAATAATTTATCACAAGTTTTGTTATAAAAATGTTTTATCGAAAAAATTACACAAGTAGCATAGAGACCTAGAATAATATAGAATGGATTTTTCAACACAATGTCCACAAATCCATAAATTCGGTGGCTGTCTAAAAAATATATATACTTAAGATACTAAACTAAGTTTGATTGGTGTTTTTTGTTTTTCGTATTCTGTTTATAATTGACCCGAACATCTGTGATCTTCATATGGGTTCAATGTTTTTTAACGCCTGCAAAATAAAGAACAATTATATATTTTAAATAATCAATTTATCAGAAAAGTATTCCGATCACTTACGCTGATTGCAATATCGTCCATAATAGCCTTCCTTACATTTACATGTCTTATTCGGCATACACTCGCCATGTTTACATTTTCGTTTGCAGTTTGTTCGGAGGCGTCGTCCAATTTCACAATGATTGCCACTGAGACCCTCGGCACAGCGACATAAATTTGTGCCAATACAGCGGCCACCATGCATGCAGGATATTTCACATTTAGCTGAATATAAAAAACGATAAAAAATATTTGAAAATTCGTTAAAATTTTTACATTTAATTAAATTGCAATCTAACTCACAAATTTCACAGCGTAGCCCATAGTAACCTCGACGACATTCGCATTTATCCTTCTGAACACATTTGCCACCATTTAAGCATTTTTGGGAGCATATACCTAAAATACAACAATAAAATATAAAATATATTAAATATATACCTCTTAATTTAAAAATTACCGAATTTCGGAATATTGTAAATTTAAATCAGCATTTTTTATAATAAAATTTCTTTTATTTTTTTTCAGAATAAAAATGCTCAGCAATTTGAAACCCTTGCCCTCCTCCTATCGCAGCGTCAACTATGCCCTACGTTGCTATTCAGCGTCGTCGCCACCCAAACGTCCCACACAATTGACAGATGAAATCATACGTGTTGATCATGCTGGAGAATTAGGTGCTGATCGTATCTATGCTGGACAAATGGCTGTTTTGGGCAACGGTCCCATGGGCAAGACAATTGCCCATATGTGGGAACAAGAGAAGGGACATCGTCGTCAATTTGAAGAACTCATTAATAAACATCGGGTACGACCAACTGTTATGACACCTATATGGAATGTTGCTGGGTTTTTGCTAGGGGCAGGTGAGTTGAAAATGAAAATCCAAATAAGGAATATTTAAATTTAATATTTTGTTCTGTATTTCTAGGTACTGCCTTAATGGGTGAAAAAGCCGCTATGGCATGTACAGTTGCTGTTGAGACAGTCATTGTGGAACATTATAACGAACAACTCCGACAAATTATGGAGTCACCACAACCCGATAAGGTATGCATATTTCAGAACCCATGAATATGAAGTGGGAAATTAAACATTTGAACGTACATTTGGAAAAATATCTTGAGGAGATGAAGATCTCTCTGTGCGTCAACACAACAAGATCAATATATTGATGCAATTTCTAGAGAGAGATGTTCAGAGATAGGAATGCCATTGAATGTGTAGGCCGAGGAACATGCAGTTCCGACCATCAACTACCTCAAAATTTTCGGGGTAACATACGACAGCATGTTCAAATCATCTGCGCAAACCCCAGCTATCTGCAATAATTTCAAAGATAGGAAAATGGTCCTCAAGTCGATTGCCGGCAGCACATGGTTCAGCAGGAAAGGAAACCTTGTTGCCCTCATACAAAATGATAGGTCTGTCTTTGGCCAGTTATGCGGTGTGGAAAGCGAATACTAGTGCTACGGAATGGAGAAATATTCAGACCTGTCAGAACGATGCCCCTAGAACTGCAGCAGAATTCCTCCTCATCACACCAGTGGGCCATGTTCATAAGGAGACTAAGATCCTTCACTTACGCTAGCATAACAATATGCTTTCGTTGCAGTACCTGCTCGTGTGCTTCAGGATTACTATTATATGGTTGAGAAAACTCACCCACCAAGGTGTGTCAGGAAGGATCTGCATGATCTAGACAGAGAGGGTTTCAAGTTTATAAAAGGGTGTCTATAGATCAAGTTGCCTATCGGACAGGTCTTAATAGCATTCATATTGATGCAGTTATCGCAGCGTTGAATGAATACAGAGTGAATGCCGTCTTCGGAGCTCACACCCATCCATCGCTGCTGAAGAACGTTTGTTGTACATTCTAAGCAGAGTAGTTTTGGCCCAATTAAGTTCACGATAGAGCAGATGTCTCAATTCGTAATAGGTACGAATTGGTTACAACGTGCAGAACGTCCGCCCAGCATGTGGTACAGGCCCTCAAACCACACTGCACTTATTAATTTGCCCTGGCTAACCTACTCAAATTTCCCCAGAAGATCTGTGGATGCAGCCTGTGAAATATCTGAATTTATTTACTGGGATACATAGCCAGAACCAGATTGAATCAAACAAGAACTAAGATATACATATAAATCTGCTACAAAAAGAACAATGATAATTCAGGAGACTCCTCCAACTTAGGGAGAATCATCAAATGTGGTAAAGGAGATCAACAATCTTGATGGAGATAGAAAACCCAACACCGTGGTGGCAAATGACAAATCGATGCTTCCAAGTCAAAAGGCCATGGAGGTGGATTTTAATGGTTGAAGTAATAGAGGATTCTTCAGAGCATTTAACCACCATATTTATGATTTCCAAAGAAGCTCCGATAAGAAGATCTACCGAAAAATGATAAACTTCTGTTCATCGAACGGGAAAGACATAACGTAGCGGACAAGGAATTCCTTTCAATCAAGAGGAATCTCAAGTGGCCCAAGTCAACGTTGCACTGGAGAAGAAAACTCAGAGTAGCCCAAGTACGACTGGGAAAATTGAGTAAGGATGTACACTATTGCGAAAGCCAAAACTTCTACTACTATGCAAGGGTGCCAGAAGTCGACGCTGATACTCAGTCCGTGTGTCTGGTGTTCGAGCTGATTCCAATCAGTGCATCAACAACGAACCTCATTATTTTTTTTAATATTTAGAAATCCAAATCGAAAATTATTTTCAAATTACAAATAATTCGAATCAAGAAAATTATTATTTCAAAAATACGTTATATTCGTAAAGATAAATTATAAAATCCAATAACTTCCATTTTCAAACGATTCTGTACTCTTTTCAGGAACTCCTCGCAACAATTACAAAATTCCGTGATGAGGAACAAGAGCATCATGATACTGGCATCGATTGTGGCGCAGAGCAGGCACCATTCTACAAGGCAATGACCGAAGTTATTAAGGTGGGATGTAAGACAGCCATTGCAATATCGAAAAAGATCTAAGGTCTGATCATCATCGTCATCAGTATACTACGAATGTTGTTATTGTAAATATGTCCTAATTTTCAAACATTTTGATATAATCTTCTTTTAAATTTAAGTTTTACAATTGAAAAAAAAAAATATATAACCCCCAATTGAGGCTTGGAAACTATATAATTTGAGATTAATTTCAACCTCGAACTTAATTTAAACGTCGAAACAAACAAAAATTGATACTTACCCCCTTCACACTGTGTTCCTTGATAACCATCCGGGCATGTGCATACCGATGGCGCTGTACAATTACCACCATTCATACACTGGGGAAAACAGAAAGCCTTCTCACAATACTGACCAATATAACCGGAATGACATTGACAAATATTGCGATGATTGCAGAAACCATGTTCACCACACTTCAGATGACACTCGGGATCAGGACCTTTGGATAAATTAATTGAAGGAAAGTAGGAAATTAGCAAATTTTGTTTAATTGCTTGTCATGTTCCACATCCACAACGGATGTATGTATATGACAGACAAATTTTGGAATGGAGAATGGAGAGGATGGCTTTTTTTGTCAAAGGGGAATAACAAAAATTGCTGTTAAATGGGGGACAGTGCGTAGGATGCTTTTTGATTTTAATTTATTATATTGTGTAGGCTTTTTGAATATTTTTAATTGCAATGCTCTAGTGGGTCAAGTACATATGCCTGTGCTTAAATGTGAGATATAAGGAAATTAGTTCAAATGAAATTGAATTCAATGAATAGCGATAATTGTTACTTATAATTTGGTACTTATCTGACTCAGACTCTTCTACGAAATACTGGATTTATGGCACAGAAGACATGATAATAATTATGTGAGTGTGGAGTTATTGAAATAAGAAGAGATTCCAACTGAAAACGACGCCATCAATATTGGATAAGGTAAATAAAGTTAACTGAATACAGATTAATTAATAATTAATTTTTATATCTTTATGTTACGACAACAAGCTGGATAATTCTTCCGAAATATGAAACCGAATGGAAATATCAAGAGAAGCCTTTATCAAATATAAAAAAGTTGTTACGAACCATGACATAAATATAGAAAACCAAGCTGCGTTGTACGCTGTATTAATATGGACCTTGAAGGCGGTTGATATAAAATAAATTGCAGGCTTTTGAAATGCGGACTTACAGGCTTATACTTAAAATACCATGGACACACTTTGTATCAAACAATGAAGTACTACAAAGAATACACCCCGATAAGAAAATAATTAATGTAGTAAAAAAACGAAAAACTGCACATCTTGGCCACATCATGCGAAACGATATGTACAGACTACTTCAACGGGTGGAAGACCTACCAGAGGAAAAAAAAAGATCTGGATAAATAACATATAAGATTTGGCCGGCATTTGAGATGTTAACAACCTTCTAAGCGAAAGCAGAATTTTCAATTTGGGTTTGAGTTTGTCGATCATGCCAAATGCAAGAGGTCGAAGCGAGGAGCACTACGTCGTATAAGATTTCTTTCCCCATTACGTCAACCGTAATGTTAAGTCATCTAAAGCATTGACGGAATGTTTCCATGTTTATGCTGAAATAGCCCGGAGTTTAGTACCTGACCAAAATCCTCAATTTGTCGATAGCAACATCGTTCCTGGACAATGGGCAGGGTGGTCCCGCTACTGAAGCCATGTAAGGATCCCAGCAAAGGTGAATCATGCCGATTTCACTTTAGTCAACAGAAAAATCCATGCTGATACAGCTGGACGAGCCCGGAGTTGAGTTACCGACCAAAATCCTCAATTGCCGATAGCCATCGTTCCCGAAGCCTGGGCAATGAACGGAGTTATCCCGCTACTGAAACCATGCGAGGTGAATCATACAGGCCGATTTCACTTTAGTCATACTGTTGAGGCATTAGTCCTTCCCAGCATCAGGGAAAGCTATCCAGTTGCAAATCATCAAGGTGGTTTCCGTAAGTACAACAACACAAATTGACCAGAAACGGTTATGACATAAAACAGTTCCGATAGGGGAATATGAGGATAATGAAAATATGAAAATAACTGCCACGTCATTCGGCAGCATTGTTCTCCACATGGACTGCTGAGATGATAATGTCATTGAATGTGCAAGTTGTTGGACATTAAATTCCGACCACCAACTGCCCAAATTCATTGTGCGATCATGACGTTGGCTCCTATCGTTGAGGATGTGTATGTGTAAGGTTGAATGCATATCTCGCCGATTTAGGTGCAAATCAGTCTATGACTGATAGAACTCTAGTTTTGGAAGGGGACGACCTACACGCGATAGTTTAGAGGTGCAGAGTAGGGCTTATACTGGAAGAGCAAAGTGGGGATAAGCTTCCGGAGGAACTGCTACTAAATCTTGTCCTGACTGATGATGAGCTGGACACCACGGTGATTCCGGTTAAGTCTACACTGGGGGATTGTTGTTGCCTCAACGGAGGAAGTGTAGACCTTGTTGACCGACCAACTTCAAGTCTGACTCCAACAGGTCCTGTGTCGGCACTTGCCGACAATAAACTTCGAAGGGAAACTGCGATGGAAGCGATGTCTGACAATGTGGAATCTATCGAGACCCCAGCAACGGACAGCGGCTCAAAAGTTGGAAATGCCCGAGAAGTATCCGATGCGAAGCACTACAAACGTGCCGTTTCGTATCTTCGCCAATTCGTGGGGTGAGACGCGAATTTGCTTTCGGAGAGCGAGGTTCATCTCATCATGGGCAAGGTGAGATCGTGAGCTCCAGATGGAGAGGATCTCCCTACAAATTTTCAGTTTTAGATATGAACGTATTCTAGTCGAAATCTATATGCTCGCCAGTTTAATTGAGGGAGAAGTGGGTCTTTCAGTCTTAGTAAAGTATTCTAGTGTACATAATACCATTGTGGTTTCTGGTGAAATTGCGCGGATGGAAGTATAAACTAGTGACCGCATCTGGCTACAAAAAATCATTTCAAAGACGATAAAGATACATTTTTTGAGCAACCAGATTTGTAGGCTCGGACGGAAAATTAAGTAAATGATGCCGCGAGGGCTTTGCTGGTAGACGTTTATTTAAGATTCTGGGGACAATACGCTCTCGATACGAATTGAGAGCGTATTAGTTGTGCCAGAAACAAACGATGACCTTGTATGTCGTTACCAGCGTTTATATATCATGGCCCCAGTAGGTGACCGACAAAACTTTCAGAACTTCATTCGAATTCGAGGATAAATGAAGGTGACTATTGAGGACACCCCAAGGATTTTCGTAGACATTTAGTAGTTCCCTTTATAAAACTATGTTAATCAAAAATAAGAATAAGGAAACACAGAGTTGTGGCAGTGAGGAGGCGACAAATTATCCAGGGTCCATATTTATTTTCACACTCCCTTTTATTGTCCGACACTTCACCTTTGAGAAAAACCAGTCTGTTAAACCAAGGACCATTATTGGGAGGAGGAGGATTGGAAGGGGATGCAAAGGATTATGAGCATACACTACCTTGGAGAGAGGTGTTTTGTGTGGGATTTGTCGTGTCGGGGTTGTCATACACACCTCTATGTGCACACTCCTTTTTGAAATGCAAACGGATGGGAGTACCGGGCAGCGTTACATTATTACCATTGTGTATGGTGAGACCAACATTGAACATGGCCGTGCCAGAGTTATTGCCACTGCAAGGTAGGAAAACGCTGAAATCTTTAAGAAAATTACAACAAATAAAATTTACTCATTTAATACAGACGATCCTCATTTACTCACTCTTTTCCTCTTTGGGTATGCGACCCTTGATTTTAATCGAAACCGTTGGCGCCTTTAAAATATTCTCATCCATCGATTCCAGCAAATCGAAATGATAGAAATATTTTGCCGGTCCAGATTTCCAGGTAAAATTTACATGATTCACCTCGGGCGGTATAATGAGATACTCGTAAATCCGCCCATCCCGTATATCGTTCATTACATGCCCATTGTGTATGGCATAGACCCGATCTTGGATATAACCTTGAGGAAAGAATAGAGCTAAGAAAACCACATGTTTTTTAGAATAAATTTAGCACTTTGTTCGTTTCTTCGTTTGTGCCATGGCCATACTTTACCCGTTAACATTTTTAGCTGCTGTTCGTTGATCCACAGCGAGAGGTTGTCTTTGGGCGAATTCGAGCGATTGCGTTTACGATGACGGTGTTTCCGTTGATGTTCGGGTCGGTTTTCATTTAGACGATTACGTCGCTTGTTGCCCTGACCATGGCCACCACCACGACCCCTATCACCACCATTATCTATACCAAGACCACCATCACCATCGTCCATGCCATTCGGTCCAAATGCATTACGATGACTAACATTGTCGCGTTGTCTGTTATTCTTCTTGTGTGGATAAACTTCATAGGGTGAGCTATTGTCAATATTTTTTACTCTCCTTCCGGCAGCTCCTCCTCCTCCATCAACTCCACTGCGTCTTCTGTGGTGTCCAGCTTCGTTTATTTGTTTGTCGCCGTGTTGTTGTTGTCTCGCCTCTATGCCATCAATCCACAAGCAGTGCATCAATATTAGCATTAGATAAACAAACCATACGGCGCTGGTGGACATTGTCACAAAGTCTTTAGATTTGTTATTGGATCTTCGCATAGCTGTTGCTGGTGCCTTCATCATCCAAATCTACAAAGCAAAAATGGAGTGCGAATTAAATTTCACATCGATAAATAAGGAATACAATATTTATATTTAGATGAATGCTGGTTTTGTTGTTTTTATGGACTGCTTCAATTCAAAGAAGTTACACACACATTAGGATGTGATTGTGTAAACAAAGTGGAATTTCTAATTAAAGTTATGATCGGAACAAGACAAAGATTCTACTAAATGTATCGTTTCCACAGACAGAGGAGTCTAACGATCCAAAAGCAAGAGGGCTGTTTCAAACTCATGGAATTCGAAAATTCTGTACATTGACCTGGTTACACTGTGGTACACCCAAATTATTCATGGGTTCTAATATACCAATTCCGCTTTTACTTTGACTATTCTTTACTTTTGTATTATAGTGATATTGATAAATAGTAAAATTCATAGCATACTTTAAGGCAACATTATAAAGAAAATTTTGTGTGGATTTTCATTTTCTGGTAATAGGTCTCTAGTAGAGTAGAGTAAATCCAAACAAAATCCGGAACATCGCTGAAGTCAAATGAAAATAACTCAACGACTCGTTTACCGATTTTTGTAAATTGTGCACAAATCGTTCGAAGTAATTCTAAATTTACATATATATATATATATATATATATATAAAATATCGACTATTTTTTTGTTAAATGTAAACAAAGTGACACAATCTTTGTTCGATTTACACGAAATTGTACATAACGTATTAAATTGAGTCTATAATAACTTATCCCGTTCATGATGGGCCATATTTTAAATACCTACAGCCTTATGGCCAATGAGGATATATACATTTTGTTACGACAAAAATGTGCCTCATAGAAATACTAATTTTAGACGGCATGTTTCTTTGGACCCTATCCGATTCAGACACTTTGGCGGCGTTCGTCAGTGTGTGCCTGCCTGTCTGGCTGGTGCGCACTATAACTCTCGAAGGGAGTAATAGATTACATCCGAACTTTGCACATATTGGAGGAACTTCGGGTAATGTGGACTATGCGTCTAATGTGGAAATTATGGCAATGCCGCCTTGATATATGTTTTCCTAATAAGTTAAAACAAATATCCTAACATGATTTTGAATACATAATTGCAATGTTGAAAATTTAGTTAGGCTCTTTTAAAATTTTGTGATTTGAAGATTTATTCGAGACTTGTGCACATACCGTAGATTAAAAAGAGATCCACCGACCACTCTACAAAACAAAAACAACAACCGCAAATGGGCGGTACTCAAATATGGGGTATATTCCCAATGATGAACCCATATTTTTTGCGTTCATTGTTACCTAAGACTGATATAAATATAAATTTATCACATACAATCTACAACATGTATTTTAACTTACTGGTCCACATTACCAAGTTATTTATTTATCGGTGTAGCCGACAGATATATACCCTCAACATTTGGTTTGTGGAGGTCTTCGAAATTGCACACTGGTTTTGTTATTGCCTTTATATAAGGAATATGTTTTATCAAAAAGGTTTTGGATTTATTGTTGATCAAATCGGTTATTAATTTGCTTTGCCTTTGTGGGAAAGGTACCAGAATGCGAGGACCGACCCACCTTCGGACTTGATAAAGATAAGAGCTTGTGCAAAGTTTACTTCCAATTGGATATTCCATTCGCCTGATATTGGGTTTGTAAATATTGACCATTTATGGGGGAGATACCAGAAGGAGTGGACCAATACGTCCCTTTTTCGAACTACATTTAGGCTTGCTAAAGATAATAGGTTGTGCAATATTGGGTTCAAATCGGGCATTCCATTCGCTTGTATTGGATATATGAATATTGCAAATTTAGACCATTTATGGGGGAGGTACCAGAAGGTGTGGAGCAAGGGTCCCATCTTCCTACTTGATCTAGGTTTGGTTAAGATAATAGGTTGTAAGAAGTTTGGTTCAAATAGTATAGTCTGCTCGCATGACATTATGAAATTATTTTTTTGCACAATTTTGATAATTTTGTGTGGGAGGTACCAGAAGGAGTGGACCGATATTCCCCAATTTTGAACTTGAACTAAGTTTGGAAGAAATAATAAGAACATCGATAACTCCCTTTGAGAGTTATCGTACCAGCCTGTCAGACTGACAACGGACGGACATTTGTTATTTGACTCCAAATTGTCTGAAACGGATTTGGTCCAAAGAATATTTTGATGGGAAACATTTTCACCAAAGTTTATATTCCCTCACAGCACAGTATACACAATTTCATTTCGGGGGGCCCGTTATTACAAAATGAAAAAATTCGCTGTTGCAAACATAAATATACGGGGAAAAAATTTCATGTCGCGGAGGCCCGGACCCCGGGTCTTGCATTCCAATACTACTCATAAGACCATATTTAAGGATTCCAGTTCGATCCGTTCACCAATACCCAAATTGTACATAATTTATATATATGACTTTTCGTAGACGTAAGTATGATTTTCCCAAACTTCCTCAATTTCACACTCCAACAGTCATTTTAATCATACATTTCAGGATCCCAGCCCTATCTGTTCACACTAACCCAAGTTGTACCAAATATAGTAATATTTAGTACATATAAGTACTATACTTCCATATCTTAATTTTTAACTCCAACATCAACCATTATTCCAAATTTTAGGTTTCCAGCTATCTCCGTTCGCACAAATCCTAATTGTTCCAAATCTAGTGCCATTTAGTACTTTTCGTTCATATAAATACGAATTTCCAAAGCTTGAACTGGAAAGTTCAATCCTAATTCTAAATTTCAGGTATTCAGCTTTCATCTAAATTCATCCAAAATCCAAATTGTAAGAACTTGAGTTCCATTTAGTACGGTTCGTACCCATAAGTACGAATTTTCTAAACTACCTTAATCCTGCCCTCCAACAGTAATATTTTAATTCCCAATTTCAATACTCCAGCTCTATCTGTTCGCCAAAATCCAAATTGAGTACCATTTCGTACCATTCAATTGTTCGAATTCTAACTCAAGACCCCATATGGAACCAAGGAAAGTACACAAATAACACACGCTTATTGCTTGTAAGATGTTTAATTACTTGTGTAAGTAAGTATGTACATGGATAACACCTTTTAATGGATGAAGTTCAACAAAAAGCCCCATGATTACAAACAGAACAATATCGAAGTCAAGTAGAAATACGAGAAAGACAAAAAACAAACCAAAGACGGCTGAATTGCATTCAGGCGTGCAAGTGCAGACACCGATAATTTTGTAGAGAACACAAAAATGTCAGTTAACCATGCAAGTGGCTGGTCAGCGCGAACGATCCGAACCGAACTGGCAGGCAGACAGCCATCCAACCAAATAAGTAAAACATGGCCTAAAATGACAGCAGCAAGCACAACAACAAAAAACAACCGAACAGCAGCAGCAGGAAACGTTGCTTCTTCTTTAGTTGAAATACTTCATCATTTGCCGCTATGGTTACGGGAATGTTCCTCCAAGTCTGTTGTTGTGTTGACCAGGGTTTGGTCGAACGATCGGTTGTGTTGGTTGCTTGGTCAGACGTCTGTTAAGTTGGTTGGTCGGTCGGTCGTTTGGGTTAGTTAGTGCAACGGGTGTCAATGTTGTTGTTGACTTTTGCTGCCTCCATTTTTTGTTGTTTTGGTCTGGTCGCCTTTTTAGCTTGGTGTTGTTGTCAACTAGGCGTTGTAGTTGTTGCCGGTCGATTGGAATTGTTAGTGCGCTTCTGTGCTGCTGGGCTTGTATTTGTTGTACACTTTGAAAACGTGTTCAAGTGGTCAACAACAGGTAGATGGGTAGGCAGGCTGGCTGGCAGAAACAGCATTTGAGACCAATGGTCATCATCATTATCACGATAATAATGATGATCAGACCAGAACGACAATAATAAAAACAACAACACCATCCAGCTAGGTGTTTTTCCATTTTTTAACGCTACCAGAAGTGCAGGAAGAAGAAGACAATCAAACATTACTTGTTACTATACAAAGCAATGAATGTGTCTGGAAAACCATATATTGACTATTTGGTGTTGTTGTTGGTCTTCTTGTACATCGAAGCTCACGCAGTTCATGGTGATGTGCACGCCTGTAAAAGGTAAGTCACCATTTGGTACTTCTGTCTGTCTGTGCGTCCGTCCTATCTAGTGGCACCTTTTTTGCCGTTTTGTATATGTGTGGAAATTAACACATCTTCCTTTTTATTATAGCTGCGGCTGTTGCCCACTCTCGGACTGGTTGGCTGGCTGACTGGCCCTACTCTCCTTCATGACCAAAAAAACATCATACCACCCTACCTACGGGGTGAACGATTGTCAACTGTCTTTTGTTTTGTTTTTTGGCCCATTGCATAACATCTGGAAATTGATTTTCAATTGAACAAAACCGGTCAAATGGGAATTTACCAAAAAACAAACGGGATTTCCTGTGTAAAGGATCACCAGCACTCATCAGTGTTGACATGTGATCTTTACGAAAAACGACAGATAACCTGACAAATGTGACAACATTTCAATAAAAGGGATGTCACTAATATCGGAAGGGTGCACAATGAATGATACAAACATACAGACATCGACACAACCGAACATGTAATGGAAGTCAAGGACGTGTTGTTTTTGAGACATTGCATGAACACATTTATGGTTTCCATGCGGACATGCCCAATTTACCAAACACTGCAAGGGGTATTTTCGAGGTTAATGACATCCGTTCAATTACTTTTATAGGTATGGTGAGAAGGTATAACCTGATGATGGAGAATGGTTGGTTGTTAATACAAGTGTTGTTAATATATGTATACATTTATGTTGATCAATTTTAATTTGATGTACATTTATATCTTGGAGAATTTGCAAGGATTGATGCCCTGTCACTTACATATTAACCATTTAATCTATATAAAAAGTGATTTATGCAAAGATATTATTTACCCACTAAAAATCCCTAAAATGGGACTATATATGGGGATTATATCAACGTGTGATTTATATACAGAACCTTGCTACGGATGACCGTTTAACTT